ATCTGAGCTCAGTAGGGTCCTGGTGTAGTGAGAGCCCGTTCTGGCGAGGGGACCAGCGAGCAGATGCATCCTCAAAATTCGGAGGTGGTCCGCCCCGTGTTGCCAGAAACATCCTCACAGCTCTGGGCTCCGAGATGCCCTGCTCTGGGGGTGTCCAGCCAGTTTCGCCCGAGCTATCCTCGCAATTCTGGGCCTGGAGATGCCGCGCGAGACACGGTCTGGACAGTTCCGCCTGGGACATCCTTGCAACGTTGGGCCCAGGGATGGCTCGCAAGAGGTGGTTTTGCAGCAAGGGGAGATGGAGGAGGAGAAGGAGAAGGAGCAGGAAGAGGAGGAGGAGGAGGACAAAGACGATACCGAGGACGAGGAGGAGGAGGATCAGGAGAACTAGAGCGGATTACAGCGGGATGAGCGGTAGACAAGCCGCACGAGCATTGCCGACCGAGGCTCTACCAGACGCTGCGGACCGTCTCCGAGCCAAACTCAGTAGGGTTGTACCTGGAAGCGTGTCCGCCTGCTGCTGCTGCCCTCTCGCACGAGCGGTTCCCTGCACTGGAGCTGCGGAGTGTCTCGCCCGATACCCAGACATTTGAGCAGCGACATACATGTTTTCACTGCCCCCCGTCTGCCAACTGCAGCTGAAAACGTTTCGTCTCAGCTCTGCGCAACCCTGCGGTGCAAGGCTGGGCCACAAGCGAATCCCAGCATTGTACACTGTAGTGTAGTGTAGCTCAGAACCTGTTCACGAGCACCTCGAACGAGTGGGTCTTTGCGTTGTAGCTGAGATGTTGCTCACACGTCCCCTATTTGCACCGGCAGAGCACGCGGCCATTGTTCGCTTTTCGCACGTTCCGATCCCTGCATTGTAGCTGAGATGTGTCTCGCACCACCCTCCATCCAGAATGAGTTGAGCTTCCACTGTGTAGCTGAGGATTCGCACGACCCTTCATGCAGCACGGTAGCCTGCTGCCAATGTTTGCTTTCTCGCACGATACGATCCCTGCTCTGCAGCTGAGGTGTGTCCCGCACGACCCCGTGCAGCAACAGAGGTTGCTGCCACTGCCTGCTCTCTGGCACGAGCTAATCCCCATAGTGTAGCTTAGATCTATCTCGCACGACCCCATTTGTAGCAATAGAGTCCACTGCCACTGCCTGCCTGTTCGCACGATCTGATCCCAGGCTCTGGCTGAGGAGAGTTTCGAACCCCACTCCGTGCAGCAACGGATCCCGCTGCCACTTTCCTCCTCGCACGATCTGATAGCCGCGCTGTAGCTGAATCCATGTCCCACGAGCTTCCTGCGCGGACGAGCTGATCCCTGCGTTGTAGCTGCGAAGTGCTCGCTTTGGCAGGTGCTACTGCCACTGCCTGCCTTCTCGCACTGCCATACCCTGCTGTCACCGCCTGCCCATTCGCACTGACATCCGCGGGTTCCACTGTCTGGTTGTGTGCACGAGCCGCTCCCAGCATTGTAACTTATTGTGATGCCTGCCGCGCCCGAGCCCATCTCCCCTTGGCAGCTGAGGACACTTGGCTCGTTCTGCGCCGCTGACGTTGCCCGGTCGCCGCTGTGGCAGCTGCTGACGTTGGATTTTGGCTCGTCCTTCACTTCGGGTGGGTCGCTCAAGAAGTAAGTTTACAGTGGGGATCCATGCCAAGAAACACCATGCTTGCCTCCAGAGTGCCCGGGGTTTGTTGGGTTTCGATGGTTTTGCCATGGGAAGCGTGACGTGCCCACGCTAAAACTCCATGGACGGCCTGGGGTCTCAGGGTTGGGTTTCTGGTGGAAGGTTTCTTGTGGACTGGCCTCCGCTGTACGAGAACGGGAGCCGGTCTCCGGTGGCCGTCTGGAGTTGGCCGTGGAGGTGAACGTCACGTGCGGAGTGATTTTGATGGCGGGGTGGAGGACGGGAAGCGAGGGCGGAAGGCAAGGCAACGCTGTACACCTTAGGCGATTCTTAAGGAAACTTCAGTTTTCGGCCAGAGTCTCGATTGTTCTTAATGTTTCAATGTAAATCCTAATATTTGGATAGAAATGTTGGGTTTTTATTCAAGTTCTGAGACTATAAATTTCTTAACCCATGATTTCTTAAGCATTTCGCAGGGTGTAGTTGATGACGCGGGGCTCCACCTTCGTCCATAGCTCCTTCAAAGCAGCGCCACTCCTAAAGCAGCTGCAGAGAGCTCGAGCCCCGCTGTCTGAGAGGAATGGCTGAATCTGGGGGATGAGGAGGGACAAAGAGAAGGAGGAGGCAGGAGCATGATGAGGAGGAGGAAAAAGAGGAGGGCCTACGGTACCCGCTACGGGCAAGGTTGCGCTTAAGCCAAAAGGGGAGTTCTTAGATGGTGCTCCCTCAGGCTCGAGGATGCCTAAACCCGCTGTAGGCCCTTCAGGGCCGTCGGGTTAGACACGTCCATCAGCAACCAGTGGCCAGCCTGTTGTCGCCCAACCGTTGACGTTGGTGCGGCAAGACGGGCTTCCCATGTGCACCGGACAATTGGCCCTGGGGGACCAGAGGCCTTCGGGTGTCTCCCCGGGTGGGGGAGGGTGCACGGGGGGGGGGGCGGAGGAGGAGAGAGAGGAGGAGGAGGAGGAGGAGGAGGAAAGGAGGAGGAGGAGAGGGAGGAGGAGGAAAGAGAGGAGGAGGAGGAGGAGGAGGAGGAGGAAACGGAAGACCACGAGCAGGAGCTGGAGGTTGAGAGGCGGAGGATGAGGAGGAGGAGGAGGTGCAGCGGGAGGGAGGGCGGGACAAGAGAGACGAGGAGGAGGAGGAGGAGGAGGAGGAAGAGGACGACGACGAACACGACGAACATGTCTGCGACAACCTTGACGACGAGGGCGAATGCCGGTCACCAGCAGGAGAACGATGATCCGTAGGACGCGCGAACAGTCGTCGGATCCACTCAGGCCTTCAAAAATGCGGTATGGTGAGGCTTGTTGTCGGCCATAAATTTCACGACAACTTCCCCCCCCTGGTCTCCCGCCTCTCGTTCCTCTCTCGTCCTTTGCCCTTGCCCGTCTTACTTTCCAATCCACCGTTCTTGCTCTCCCCTGCTCCGCTCAGCTCCGTTCCCACCTGTCGAAGATCAGGACTTTTGAGGAGAAAACTGGGGCAACGGGGCAAGAGGCTCACGTGTATACCTACACTTCTTGTTTTCAGACGACGGTTTGGAAAAAGGGACCGCCGTGGACGTTGATGATATTGGCAATGTGATCCTCGTCTTTATAAGGACACGTGCAGACGGATGGACGCCAAACATGTGAGCGTGTCTCGGTGGGGTGTTTGTGTACACGGCGCCCTCTCGATCGATGGAACCCTCAGGATTGCGCTCAGGAGGAGTAGCTATGGGGGCATGATTGCAGGGGGCGCGAGCTGAGGGGAGCACAGACAAACAATGAGCATGTCCGTGGGACACTCGGGAAGGAGGCCAGGATAATTCGTGAAGTCATGCTCCCCCTTCTCCTCATCCTTCAGCTTCCTTCCGCTCTCTTTCTTACGTCCGTCTCTTTTATATCCTGCGCCTCTCAACTCTCAACCTGCTCGTTCCCATACCCTCTGTTCTTCCTCCTGCCTCATCCTCCCTTCGACTTCTTATTCTCCCGCCCTTGAAGCCCCGGACGAGTACAGCTTGTTTGTTAGGTGAACGAGTTTACGTGACACCATTGGCCCGTTGTGGGAATAAGTCGCCATTGCATGTGTTGGATTCGCCTCGTCCCAAAGTTGTCTCTCCCCTCTTCCGACTCTCCTTTTGCGGTCGTTGGATGCGAAAATTGGCAACCACAGCAGCACCGCGTTGTAACCAGGGTGTTGGAAGAGCGCCTGGCCCATCGCATGATTGCTGGAGGGCGAGGAGTAAAACGAGGAGGTGGACGAAGGAGGAGGGTGAAAAGATCGGCAGCACGCCGCATTGGTATGTCTGATGCTCTAGGCCTCTTAGGTGGGGTCGAGGGATCGCGCCGCATCGCCGATGCATCGACGATGCGTCTCGACGCGGAGTTCGATTTTCTCCACGCCCACGACGCCGATGCGTCGCCGACGTCGGCGATGCATCGCCGATGCATAGACAATGCACTGGCGCGAGAGGGCGAGCGTGCGCGTTTCGTCCGCACATTGCCCCCCCCCCCCCCCCCACCCACCCCTGTATTCGCCGCAGGCCTCGCATTGCGTCCCTCGCTCCAGACCCCAGCCCTTCACCCCGTCGTCACGACGCCCTCCCCCCCTTCCTCGTCCTCCGTCCTCCTCCACCGTCGGCTCGCACGTCCAGGACTTCCGACGGCGGCGGGGGGGAGGGACGAGCTCGGGCTGGAGAGTTGGCCGCTCGAGGGGGTGATCGACTGTGTGCCATCGAACAGACCTGCGAGGGGGCGGAGCCAGGCTCCGTCCCCATCTTGGTGCGCTATCCCAGTGATCCTCCCTCGCCCCGCCTCCCGCTGTGAAGAGGGCGCCGCGGCCTCTCGAGTGCAGCGGCCCGACGCGAGCAGCTGGGGGGACGAGAGTTTATCGCATCGGCGTTCCTCCTCCTCCTCCTCCTCCTCCTCCTCCTCCCCCTCCGTACCCTTCCTCCTCCTCCTCCATCCTCTCTTCCTCCTCCTCCTCCTCCTCCTCCTCCTCCTCCTTCTCCTCCTCCTCCTCCTACTCCTCCTCCTCCCCCTCCGTCCCCTTCCTCCTCTTCCTCCTCCTCTTCCTCCTCCTTCTCCTCCCCCTCCTCCTCTTCGTCCTCCTCTTGCTCCTTCTCCTCTTCCTCCTCCTCCTCCTTTCTCCCCCCCCTCCTCCTTCTTACCCATTCCGGCTCAGGCCAGCATCAAGCCCCTTGGTCGCCATTCTCCCTGCGCATGGCCAGTCCGGAGCGTGGCGCTGTAGGGGCTTGGGCTTGACGCTACGGGAGCCGCCTCTTCGAGGCGCAGCGGCAGCGCGGGCCGCCGCAGACAACCTGGTGAAACAACTCCTTGGGCAGGTCGACGTGCTCCGCAAGGAAGTGGACCGGCTGCGATATCCTCAGCATGGCCCTGCTGACGAGTTCGCCCGTCGCGAAGCATTTACTCGGCCTGCTCTTCGCTCCCCTACGGCTGGCGATCGCCTTGCTGGTGGCCGTCGTCTACGGCGGAACGTTGCATGGCATGCAGCGGCTTGCCCGAGTGCTGGTGCTCCGCGCGAGGCATGGGTCGCAGCCCAGGCGGTCACGCCTAGGCGCAGGCGTCCCCTCGGCGACACTTGCTTCCGAGTGTGCCGTACCACGCGGAGGTCGGCGGGCTGCAGCGCGAAGCGGACGTTCGGATGCTGGCGGCGCCGTCGGCCCCCGCTCATCCCGCAGCGTTGTGCTTCGAGGCTCGAACTTTCTTTACAGGCGCTGGCGCTCGTCAGTTTCGTGGCGGCATGTGCAGTGTGGGCGTCCTCCTGGACGTGTTGGCGCCTGCTGTCAAGTTTGCCGCGTGCAGGGTCCACCCCCCTGCCGTTGATGGCTCTGAGGGTGGCGGTGCAGTGTTGCAGCGCGAGCCCGAGGCGCAGCTCACCAAGCAGATGGACGAGGCCGTCGCCTGCTCGAGCTTCGACGCCGAGCAGGAGGTGTCGCAGGTGCAGGAGAAGGGGCCTTCGGTCGTGCCTGAGCGGATCCTGGTGGAGACCGTGGGCGCGCGCACGGCCTTTGACGTCGAGGTCGGCTCGGTGCTGGATTGCGACGCCGTGGAACGCCTCGGGAGCGGGATCGCCGTTGACGGGCCCCCTGAGGCCGCGCCTGCGCGGCGCCCACCGAGTTGGTCCAGGCGCTCACCGCCGAGGAGCCCGCCGAGCTCCTCCAGGCAGACGCCACCGAGGAACCTGCCGAGCTGGTCCAGGCGGACACCTCCGAGGAGCCCGCCGAGCTGGTCCAGGCGCATGCCATCGAGGAGCGCGCCGGGCCGGTCCAGACGGACGCTGCGGTGGAGCCCGCCGAGCTGGGCCAGGCGGCCGCCGCCGCTGAGCCCGCCGAGCTCGGAGGAGACCAAGAACGACCCCAAGGCAGCCGCGCAGCAGGAGAAGGTGGCGTTCGACGGGGAGGATTTCCTGGCCCAGATGTTCATAGACAAGGGGAGCGACGGGGGCGCGTACATGGGCGACGTGGTCACCATGCTGGCGCGCGGCGGCGTCGAGCTCGAGTTGGCGGCTAGCTTCTCGGCCTGGATGACGAAGAAGAGAGAATGAGAGAGGCGCCAGCTCACCGACGTGCTATTCCGCGAACAGCATTGAGCGCCGAAGGCGGCCAGCCCCAATGCCCCCGTGGCTCTTCCAGCACCGCGGGGCACTTGCCACATCCAACGGACCTCCGCGCGGGGCGCGCGGAGCGGGACGGCGCATGGGTGACTGGGCCCATCCTGGCAGACCCCTTTGCCCAGGGGGGCCAGGTGGGGCCGCGCCCACTTGGCCGACCCCCCTGACCCCACCTGTCACCGCGTCGCGACGGGCAGGCAGCAACAGCGGCCAGAGCTTGCCCCAAATCCAGGCAGGCACCGCGCAGGCCGACGCGCACCCGTCGCGACGGGCGGGATTGCGCCGACCCAGGGACGGGCGCCCTCTCGGGACCCAGAGACCAGATCCCCGCGGGACTTGAGACGGCAGACCCTGCCACTTCGAGGGCCACCCCATCTGGTCCAGGGGTGCCGCCCCAGGTCATCCCCCTGCTAACCTGTCCCAGCCTGGGGCAGGACGGAGCCGGGCGCGCTGGGCTGACGGGCCTGGGGGGGGGGGGGGGGCGGAGCAGCGCGCCGCGCCGAAGCCGCGCCGCGAGAAAGAGCGCTGCGGCGGTGCGGGGTGGGCCGCGCAGCGCCGCAGGGAGGGGCGGCGTGCGCGCGCGGCGGGCCCCGCTGCAGTTGCCTGCTCTTCTGCTCGGGCTATGTCTGTGAATCCCACCGGCCCTCTGGGCGCAGAAGGTCCAAAGAGATCCCTCTTCCTTCTTTCAAAAATGCTCTCTTACAGGGAGGGGTTGATCCTTGCTTCGTATGATTACGCACCCCCGAACCCCACCAAGCTGGCCGATAGCAACCCCGCCGTCCTAAGGTTTCAAAAAAACAAGTCAAATTCAATGTTATTCTCGCCAGCATGTCGTCTAGTTGCGAAAAGTGCAGCAGGAATTCGACGGAGTGAACATCACTTCGGTAGCCCCGAGCGGGCGGTCGCGTCCTACCCATCAGCAAACAATGCAAAGTCAACGTTGTCACGTCACCGAGGACTTTCTTGTCGTCGACGTTGCGAAAAGTGCACGTAGCAGGAATTGGGCGGAGTGAACATCGCTTGGGTAACCCCAAGCGGGCGGTCGCGTCCGACCCATCAAAAACAATGCAGAGTCAACGCTTGCATCGTCAACATGGACTTTCTTGTCGCCGACGCTGCGAAAAGTGTAGCAGGAATGTGACGCGGCGCACATCGCGCGCGGACGCCTGGCCAACCCTGCGCGGGACCCCCCGTCCTACCTGCCAGAAAGCACTGCAATTTCGACGTTTTTCTTGCCAACATGTGTTTTCTCTTCGTCGGCGCTGTGACTCACTCACCCAGTCTATCTCGCCCGACCATAACTCACCTGGCGCTTAACTCACCCAGCCTGGTATTGTAGTGGCCTTCGGCCAGTGCCGCCGATCCGGGGCGCTCCGACTGATGTGATCCTTCTTCGCCCTCGTCCCTCCTCTTTTTTTTCCCTCCCCTCCTCTCACTCAGCATTTATCGAAGACGCCTACGGCGAATCACCGCCGCCCCCTGCTTTTTTGGAAACGCCGATGTGGCCGAAAGTTGGACTAGAGCTTGGCCAAGCTCTCGGACCATGAGTTCCCCGAGTCGGTTTGGAAAGCTTTCGGGGAACACATGGGAGAGAATGATTGTGAACAGGAAGAGGGAGAGGAAGAAATTGAGTAGGAGGATGAGGGTTGTTAGGACTCTCTTGGGGCACCCTTGGGGTCTGTTGGGAGCTTCTTGGGGGCCTCTTCGAGGCCTCTTGGAGGCATCTTGGGGGCCTCCTTGGGCCTCTTGGGGGCCTTTGGGGGCTTCCTGGGGGTCTCTTTGGCCGTCTTAGGGCGTTCCTGGTCCGTCTGACGCCGTCTGGAGCCGTCTTGGGGGCCTCTCTGGGCCGTCTTGGGGCCCTCTTGGGGCGCTTCAGGGCCGTCTTGGAGGCCATGTTGGGCGTCTTGGAGGCCTCTTGGGCCGTCTTGGGGCGCTCTTGGGGCCGTCTTGGGGGGCCCTTGGGCCGTCATAGGGCCTTCTTGGAGGCCTCTTGGGCGATCTTGGGGGCCTCTTGGGCCGTCGGAAGGCCGAAAAGAAGAAAACGCAAAAAACCTTCAAAAACCTAAGGAAAACCAATGATTTTGGCCTCTTCGGGCTCTCCTGGAGAACGTCTTGGAGGCCTCGTGGGCCATCTTGGAGGCATCTTGGGGCCATCTTGGCCGTCTTGGAGGGCATCTTGGGCCGTCTTGGAGGCATCTTGGAGCCATCTTACCCGTCTTGGAGGCCATCGTGGCCGTCTTGGAAGCATCTTGGAGGCCATCTTGGGCCATCTTGGCCGTCTTGGAGGCCATTTGGGGCCAAGTTGGGGCAACAAAGGCATTGACAGACGGATTTTCGGAAATTTACGGGTGGCCGGCGGGAAGGGCCGAAGCCCACTGGGGAGTTTTTTTAGAAAAAGAACCAAAACCAAAACTGAATCATCCAGCACGCCGTGCACCCCTGCAAGCAGGGGGCGGCGGATCGAAGACGCCTACGGCGAATCACCGCCGCCCCCTGCCGTTTTGGAAGCGCCTATGTGGCCGAACGTTGAGGCCAGACCTGCCAAGCCATCGGACCATGTGTTCCCCGAATCGGTTTGGAAAGCCTTCGGGGAACACGTGGGCGTCTTGATGGTCATCGTCGCCGTCTTGGAGGCCTCTTGGGCGATCTTTCGGCGATCTTTGGGGGCTCTTGGGCCGTCTCGGGCCGTCGGAAGGCAGAAAAAATGGAAATGCCCAAATCCATCAAAAACCTTGGGAAAATCAGTGATTTTGACATCTTTTGGCCTTCCTGGAGGCCCTCTTGGGGGCCTCTCGGGCCCTTTTGGGCCAGCTTCGAGCCAACTTCGGCCATCTTGGTGGGTTCCTGGCACGTCTGACGCCGTCGGGAGCCGTTTTGGGGGCCTTTCTGGGCCAACGGGGGACCCTCTTGGGGCGCTCCAGGGCCGTCTTGGAGGCCATCTTGGGCGTCTTGGAGGCCATCTTGGGCGTGTTGGAGGCCTCTTGGGCCGTCTTGGGGCCCTCTAGGGGCCATCTTGGAGGCCACTTGGGCCATCAGGGGGCTCTCTTGGGGGCCTCTTGGGCGATCTTGGGGGCTTCTTGGGCCGTCTTGAGCCGTCGGAGAGCCGAAAAGGCGCAAATGCCAAATCCTTCAAAAACCAAGGAAAATCAATGATTTTGGCTTCTTCGGACTCTCCTGGAGGACCTCTTGGAGGCCTCTTGGGCCGTCTGGGAGGCCTCTGGGGGGCCTCTTGGGCCGTCTTGGGCCGTCTTGGACTCTCTTGGGCCGTTTTGGAGGCCGTCTTGGACCATCTCGGGCGGACTTGGAGGCCATCTTGGGCCATCTTCGCGATTTTTTGAGGATGTCCCGAGCGAAACGGCCGTTTTTGGAGGATTTTTTCCGGTCGTTGAGCACGTTTGGGGATTTTCCGGGTGGCCGGCGGGTTCTGCCGGAGCCCACTGGGGAGTTCTTTTGGAAAAAGAACCAAAACCAAAACCAGCTCATCCAGCACGCCGTGCACCCCTGCAAGCAGGGGGCGGCGGATCTGGTAGTCTTCGGCCCATCCTGCCACCGTGCCTAGGCGCACTGGATACCTGTGGGGTTTTCTTGGAAGGCTTTTCGGAAGCCTCCTGGAGGCGGTTTTGGAGATGTCTTAGGGCCTCTCGGGGCCTCTTGGGGGCCTCCTAGGGCCTGATTTGGGCCTCCCTAGGGCTTCCAGGGGCTTCTGAGTGGCCCCTAGGGCCCGATGGCGGTTTCGGGTGTCACCTTGGGACGGAGAGCGCGATGTGTCACTTCGAGTTCCCCCTCTTGGAGCCCTCTTGGGGCCGTCTTGGACAGTTTGGGGGGCCTCTTGGGCCGTCCTTGATACCTCTTGTCCTGTCTGGGGGTTCTCTTGGGGAACTCGTGGGCTGTCTTGGGGCGATCTTGGAGGCCTCTTGGGCCGTCTTGGAGCGTCGGAAGCCCGAAAGGGCGAATACGACAATCCTTCAAACACCACCAGGAAATCAATTGTGTTGGCATCTCAGAGCTTTCGTGAGAGTCCTGTTGGAGCCCTCTTTGGACGTCACGAAGGCCTCTTAGGCCGTCTTCAGACCAGCCTGGACGGTCTCGGAGCGATTTGGAACCGTCTTGAGGCTCTCCTGGACCGTCTCGGGCGCTCACCGAAGCTGTCTTGGGGCTCTCATAAGTCGTCTGGGGGCCCTCTGGGGTTGCTTCGAATCTTGAGTTTGGGCGGGGGCGGCGAGGGACCGCCGACAGAGCGGTGGCCTACTGGGTGGACTTCGGGGAGGATTTGGCCATGCCCTGACGAACCTGCCAGGCACTTTGACAGAGTGGTCTCGCACGGCCCAACCCGCAGGCGGGAGCGGCCAGATCTTATCGGCTGCACCCTCTGCCGCTGGCCTGTCTAGGCTGAGTCGCGTTGCAACCATACTGGGGTAGTGAGGGGGCCCTCTCAGGCCATCATGGGGCTGGGCATCTTGGGGCCTCTGGGGACATCATCTGGCCATCCTGGGCAATCCTGGGGCTGGCGCCAATCTTGAGTTGGCGTCTTGGAGTCATCTTGGGGCCTTGTTGGGCCATTCTGGGCGATTTGGGCGTCACGGTGGGGCCTTTGGAGGTTACCTCGGTGCCGTCTTGGGGAATATCGGGGGCTTTTGGGGACTGGTTTGAAGCGATGTTTGGACATCTTGCGAGTAAAACGTGGGACGGGCAAAAACAATGGAAGCATTTGTTGTTCAATGCGTGTTGCATTCTCGGGGGTTTCTTGGAGCCGTCCTGGGCCATCTTGGATGCATCTTGGGTCCATCTTCGGCCGTCTTGGGCTCTTGATGCCCTCTTCGGAGCCTTCTGGGGCCGTCTTCGAGGCCTCTGAGGCTGTCCTGACCGTGCGGTGGCGTTCAATGAGACACCTGGGGCAGCCTAGCATCGCCAGGAATCTGCGCCCCCCCGGCTGTTTTTTTATGTCTGGCGGCCAGGGCGACCCTAGCGGACAGTGCAATGCAATTACGAGCGGTGTTTTGGCATATCCTGCAAGAGCGACGACCATATCCGTATCCGCGCCTTCGCGGTCTTGGTTTCTGGGGCGCGATCCCGCGGATACGCGGTCTTACGGATACGTTCCGCGCGGGATATCCGCGAAACGTTCTGAGATGTGTTTCGCCCACGATATCCTTCAAGCATGGCTCGAAGGGCACTTGGTGTCTTCTGGGGACGCTCTTGTTCATTGCTTGTCTCTTCACTTTGGACGAGGCCTATGCCTCTGTGGATGGAGCTACCTTAAAGTGGGACTGGCCCAACATCGGATGTTTGTTGCTTGCAGGGAGCCTCATGAGTGTCGTCACCACTGCCATCAGGGGCCTGCAATTTATGAACGTACCAACCGGCATCTCGGAAATTATGCCTTCTGTTTTCGCCTTCACGTGTGGAGTCTTGCTGCACCACTGGAGCAGTTGGCTTGCGCACTGTGAGGCGATGCCTGTCCAGGGCATGTGTCTCCTCAGGGAATGATTGTGCTGGGGCCCCTTTCTGGCCGCCGCGGCTTGCCGCTCCCGTATCCCCTGCCCCTGCGGTTTGCCGCGCTTTCACCAGTCCATCGAGGCTTTACTCTCCTGTCCTGTATCCTCTGCGTTTTGCCGCTCGTGCGCATATCTCGTCTCGGCGTTCGGCCGCTCCTGAATCTGCCGCGGCTAGGGCACTCCCCCCTGATGGGCTTCCCGCTGCTGGGCTGCCCCCCCTGGTCTTGGTCGGTGGTGGCTGCTGCTGGCGTTGGGTGCACCTGGTACGCAGGCTGGCAGGCATGCCATGAAGATCGCGGCAGGCCAGCGCGGCTTTGGGGCGCCCTCGGGGGAGTTGCCTTGCTTGGCATGTTGCCCAGCCTTCCTGGTCCTGGACATCGCTTGGCGGTGCGCAGCTGGCGGATCGCTGCCGGCTGGAGGAGCATCGCATGCACCCTCTGAGTTGCCACGGTTACCGCAATCCGCCGAGTGCGTGGCGGTCGGCCGCTTGATGCCGCGATCGCGTATCTGCACGCCGCTCCGGGGCCTGGGTATCCCAGAATGTTCCTTAGTGTACCCGCATCTCCTGTGCTACGCGGCGCCCTGGCCCTTGGGCTACGGCGCTTGGTTGCAGCGTGGGCGTGCCAATTCCCGCTGGCGGAGCTTACACTATCTTGGCCACTTGTTGACCTACAGCCACGTCGCTGAGACGTGATGGGCACTTCCCTCTGGCGCTTGGGCAACGCGGGCCCTTCCTGCAGTCACTAGCTTGTGCTTCTTGGCCACACCGGTTCTCCGGCACCTCGCCTACCCTGAACGGACGACCTGGGAATTCTTGGCTCATATTCCTGAGTGATATTTGGTTGGTATTTTGAGTGCTGAGTGCCAGGCCTTTCTGTGCTGAGACCGCGGCATTGCTTCTCGACGCACGGGATGCCCGCGTGGGTTTTCACCAGCACATGGGGTCCAACAGAAGTTACCTTTGTCCCTTTGTGTTTTGAGAGTCCCAGCCACTTCGGGTTGCACACCCACCGCAAAGAAGTGCCCAGGGACAATAGAGGCAGAATCATCTTCACCACTGGCGACAGCAGCAGCGCACGCCTGCTGAGCCGATGGCAGCAGCCGTCCTCTTACGTAGGTCAGCACCAGTACGTCTTGTGGTAACGCACCAGTCACTTCTCCAGTCCCCAACCGACCAAACATACACATGCATGTTTCCTGTGCCGCAGCTTTGCCCTGGACCCTTGCCTTCGGCGTGTCCTTCACTCTTCTGCAACGCCGTCGCCGACTTCACGAGCCCGACCTCCGGCGCCGCTTGAAGCTCTACAGGTCTGGGAGCTCTCTGACCGTTCCGTGGCCTTTGTTTTGTTGCCGCCGTTGTCAGCTACGGACGCGTCCCGCCTCTGGCCCGATCGCTTGTTGGATCAAACTCGCCGCACATCTAAAATGTAAGACTCACGTAGTCCGCTCGTTCGACCCTCCTGCTCGTCATGCTCATCGCCATCGTCCTCGCGCTCCTCCGCCCCCCCGGTCTCTCTGGTCCACCCCCGCTGCCCCAGTGCGACCTCAGAGACGAGCGGGGGGGGGGAACGGGAGGATGGGTCGGGCGTTCAACCACCACAGATGCCCCTGGCCCGAGCGGTACCCTGGGCTTCCCCGGGGCGCTTCCGCGGCTATGCCCCCCCCCCCCAGACGAAGACCAGGGGGCCTTCGTGTCAACACCCAGAAGTTGTCGGGAACGGGCCTGCAGCCAGGTCATCGATTTTGCTGTATCCTCCGAGATTTTGTTGTATGCCACACCTTCCCAGCCCCACTCAGATTCGATCGCACGGGGCCACGTTTAACATACCAAAACCACGCCCCAGGGCCCCAGGGAGGGAGTTGCGCATGCCAAACTCACGACCAGGACCCTCGCCCACCCCCCACGGCTCTCTGGGTACAGTCTATAGTGTTTCTGGCGGGCGCCGGCATCACCGCGCTTCACACGGCGCAGCTCGGACGGGAGAGCTGCCCATCTCTTGGGGGTGGGGGCGGCGCGATTGCGCGAGGACGAGCGCACGTCGCGATCGCCGCGCCGCCCGACGCGCGAAGTTGGGCGCGCGGCGGCGCCACCTCGCCCGGCCGTGCCGCTGTCAAGGTGCCGTCGCCTCAGTTGATGGAGCGCGTGGAAGACTTCTACCAGGACTCCCTTCCGACCCGCCCCTCGGAGGAGGAAGAGGTACCGACCGTTGTACTGCTACCCCTGGCGCGTGTTCGCCTGTTCGGGCCTCCCGTGGGAGACCCCCTCTCTGTCACGCCCGGGTGCGCCTGGGGGTTCTGGTCAGAGCGCAACCTGGGAGAGGTCCGAGGACCTTGTGATTTTCCCCCCTCCCGCCCCCGCCCAGCTTCCCCCCCCCCCCTCCCCTCGCCATCTCCCATCCTCCCGCATCCAGGCCCCCCTACTCTGCCTCCCTCCCCATGCCCCCTCCCCACCGTCTTCCCCTGCCTCTCCCTCGGCGTCTCCCTCCGCCTGCTCCTCTGCCTCTCTCTTTTTTGTTTGTTTTCTTGTTCCTCTCTCTCTCTCTCTGAACACACATATATCTACATAAATATATGTATATATTTGTATATATGTATGTGTGTGTTGTTTTTGGTTTGTTTTTGCTCTCTCTCTCTCTCTCTATTTATATAAGTATGTATGCATTTTTGTTTTCTCTCTCTCTCTCTCCCTTTCACTCACTCTCTCTCTCTCTCTCCCGAATGGTCTCCCGTCACCGTTTTTGATAGTTTTTTAGGCGAGCGGTTACCGCTCGACGGGATGGAGAGGCCTTAGATTCTCTTAGATGCTCGTTTGCCGAGCAGAGTAGCAGTACACACAGGCACACGGACATACAGTTGGCAGTCGTCGGTCGGATATGTACTCACAAACGCACGCTTGCACGCACGCGCATACCTTTTTTCGCGTCTCTCCTGCACGAGCAGCGACGCAGCGTGATCAGGACAAACACGCACCGACACACGCACACTCAGGCACGTGCAAACACAAACAAGACACACACACACACACACACATCCAACACGCGCGCACACACACAGACACACGCACCTACACGCACACCCACAGATATACACATTTCCCTCCGACGCGCGGCTGAACCCAAACCACAGATGCAAGGTAACCGGACGAGTGTACCTCGAATTGGTTTGTTTCATTGGGGATATGTGCGGGATCCACGGCAGTCAACCGCGCAAGGACGGAGCCAAGCAAGAAACATCAGGCGGTGCAGGAAATTTGGAGGATCGACGGTGAAACCACCGAGCACAACCAGAGGAGAGGCGGAGGAGTGGCGGGGGGGCCATCACAAGGAACGGCGTCGAGTGTGTGCGGTCGACCTGCAGCGGATGTGTGTGCTGACGGCTGGCTGGGCCGTAGGCGCGTGGGTGAATCGGCCGAAGTCGACAGGGCTAGAGCAGCAGAGAAAGGACGCGCACACATACCCACCAACGCGCATACCAACACACACACACACACACTCACACACACACACCAATTCAACAATACACCACTGCACCCACACACTTGCACTCACACACACACACACCGAGTTCCAGGATCGGTTCAGCATCGATCGGTGCGATCCCAGGTCAATCCTTGAGCGTCCGAGTACGACTAGTATGACCAAACGTCACACAGGGGGAGCCTAGAACTGGACAGCCGTAGCCACAGGAGACACGGACGAGATTATCTTGCTTATGTTGTTGTTCTTGCAGATGCCTTTCATGCCGCCTCTGTTGCCGCTGCTGATCTGCTATTGCTGTTGCTTATTTCAGCTCCTCGGGCTCCTCCTTCGGTTACTCGTCTTTGTCATCTTGTTGTTGCTGCTCATCCTCTCGATATCTTCACACGGGCGCCTCTATCGAAGACGCCTGGGTGAGTCACCGCCGCCCCTGCCTTTGGAAGTGCCTTTGTGGTATAATGTTGAACGTCAGTGTGGCAATGCTATTGGTCGGGGTGTTCCCGAGACGTCACGGAACCACTTGCGGAACGCGCGGGAGGGGCCCTGTCGGGAGCCTGTTGAGGACCGACTGGGGCTTGCTTGGGGCCGCTCCAGGGCCGCCTGGGGCCTTGTATATAGGGGGCCCCGGGCGGCAGGATGAGGAGGACGAAGAGGAGGAAAAACTATTCGTGCCAGGTGTACGGTGGGGTGGAGGATGCAGATCCACGAGCCACCAAGGACGCGATGGAGGTCCACAGGGTTGTCAGTGAATCCATGCGTCTTGCCTGCGGCGGGGAGCTCCTCCTGGCCGCGGTTTTGCAAGAGTTTGCGGGTGCGTCGCCGTCCCTGCCTCTCTCCGCCCCGCGCACTCGTCTAGCCTCTGGCGGTCGAGGCGGTCCAGGCCTTGCGTGCGCAGTGCTCCAGAGAGGGTTGGAAGCTGCGAGGTGCAGGAGTGCGCGAAAGGAGGAGGAGGAGGAGGAGGAGGAGGAGGAGGAGGAGGAGGAGGAGTTGGAGGAGGAGGAGAACTCCATTGCCGTCCCTGCCCCATTGCCTCAGGAGGACGAGGATGTGCAGGCGTGTGTCGAAGAGGAAGAGGAGGAGCAGCAGGAGGAGCCGAACACTACGACATATTGTCAGATAGTCCGAGCCAAGTGAAATCAAGTCAAGCAGGAGGAGCTGGAGGAGCAGGTGGAGGAGAGTGGAGGAGCAGGAGGAGGAGCAGGAGGAGGAGGAGGAGCAGAAGAAGGAGCAGGAGGAGGAGCAGGAGGAGGAACGTGGAGGAGCTGGCGGAGCAGGAAGAGTGTGCCAGGGGAGACCCTCTGCGCGGGCCAGCGGACAGACTGCGCCGCGCGTGCCGGCGGCGGGCGCGCCGGCGGCTCCCCCGCGGCGAGATAGGAACTGCGACGACGACGCCCGCTGCGGCGACGACAGCGACCACAACGACGACGGCGGCGGCGGCGACAGCGATGACGACCGTGGCGGCGCGGCGACGGCGACAACGACCATGTCGGCGACAACGGCGACGACGACGGCGACGACGACGAGGACGACGCTAACGGCGACGACAACGACAGACGACGACGGGCGACGGACGACGACGGACGACGGACGACGACGACGACGACGACGACGACGATCTCCGCGGGAGCCCGGCGGAGGACCTCCGCGACGAGGAGCGCAGCAGCAGCAGCAGCCGCAGCTCCTCGCGCTCGCGCTCGCGTTCCAGGCCCGCGGGGGCCGCGGCGCCTTCGCGGCCCGCGGGGCCCGCTCTCTCGGCCGCCGGCCAAGCCGAGCCCGAGCCCCCGCGGGCCGCGCGCGCGGCGTTGAGCGGCGGTGCCCGGCGAGGGGGTACGGTCGGGATCTTTTTCTGACGGCAGAGGGCCCCAACGACGACATAATGATTACGTACAGTACAGCCCCTAACCCCAACAACAATGATTTCGTGGCCTGACTTGGGTCCTCTTTTTCTGTTCCGGTCATCCCTAACATGTGGGTGGCTTCGTTTGAGGTGTCTGCAAATCGATTCTTCCCTAGTGTTTCTCGCTCTCCTAACAGGTCCCCCCCCCTCAGGATTAGGAATACTTGTGTTGTTTACCAAGAAGCATAGCAACGTAGAGGTCTACGCGGATTTCTTGGATCGGAGCCGGGCCCCGCTGGCGGGGCTTCGGGCGCCGCCCCCGGCGCACTTCGCGCGCCAGGGAGGGGGGTGAGGCGCAGATCACCAAAAATCCACGCGGACCGTGTGTAGTTCTTGCTTTCTCTCTGACTAGCGCGTCGCTCCGGTGGTTCTGGCCCACCGCGCCTCGGCGCGACACGCTATCCGTTTCCCAGCCCCAAGTCTTAAACTTCGAGCTTTGCCGAGCCTCCCGCTCCGCAGAGTGGAGCGACAGGCTATCTACATGGCATAAGGTGTCGCCAGGGGCCGCCGCCGCGACACGCGAACGAAAAGTTCTTGAACGTACGAGGAGCGCATGCCAATGTACCGTTCCGCCCAGATCATCAGCGACCCGAAACTGTCTGTAACGGATTTCGGGCGCGCCAGACTTGGGTCGCGACCAGAGGGGGTCGAATTTCGCTAACGAAGAGACGGCGCGCGTTGGGGTCCAAGCGAAGGTTTCGATGCCGTCGGCGGCTCGCTCGTTACCGCAATTCGCGACTGGACGCCGAAATTCGGTCTCGACCTGTTTGTTCAGAGCGTTAGTCCCGGCTTGCTGTGCCGTTTTTGTCGGTGTGTTTGCCGTCTGCTTGCTGCCGCTCCTCCTCTTTCCGCTGCCCTCCCGTCCCTCCGTCTCCCCTCCTTCCTTCTCCTCCTCCCTCCTCCCCTCCTCCTCACTCCCCTCGTCGTCTGTAGCCATGCTGGCTCAAATGTTTGGCCTCCCCTGTGGAACAAGTGGATACTGCTTGTCCGCGGCTTGTGTTGACCCATTTGCCAGGTGCGCCCCTGGCTGAGCTGCTCCTGGTCCGCCCCAGGTCCAGCATCTTTCACGTGAACTCCTGGAGGATCTATGCCCAACAAGTCTCAGCGTTTCACTTTCTGAAATGGCTGCTGGAATTGGTGCTACGGTTGGCGCCTCAAGCATCATAATGGGATGTGCGGCGTCTGGTGGGGGAGGGCTGCAGGGAGGCTGGAAGACTACCGAATCAGGCTCGTGGTGGTCGCCGTGGTCGTCTCAACCCTAGCTTGACTCCAAGTCCTGGCCCGCGCTCGCTTCTTCGACCACGTCTCGCGAGCAGTCCTTGGCCATTGCCCTGCGCAGGGGCGGGCTGGACCCGAGAAGGCAGCCAGTCTCATGCGACAGGCCACTCGGCTGTTGGAGGACAGGAAGCCTCGCCCCCGGCCCAAAGTCCGCGACCGGGTCTTGCAGGGTACGTGCTGAGAAGCATGCGGCCTTCGGCACGGTGCCCAAGGCTCTGGTGCATGCGGAGTCGGCCCTTTTGCGTGCGGGAGGAAGTTCGGCGAGAGGCGGCCGATGCCATGCACCCGGCTGATCTCCGCAGGCCGAGGGCCCGGGCTGACATGTCAGACCCGGTGCCAGAGTCCAGCAGAGTGCCAGGAGAGGCGGTGTTGTTCGAGCTGGGCCACGGTCCCGATTGGAATGGGATGATCTGCCGCTGTTTGGCTTAAGCGCCGGCGCGTACTAAACATATTGTTGAGTGGAAAGCCCCGCATCTACACCATATTGCCGCAATGCTTTCTCTCGTCGAGCTTCACGGCCCCGCAGTTCTGATTGCTCTTCCTCCTCTCTCCGCCATGATCCTACTCGTTTTTTTTTTTTTCTCTGTATTCCTCCTTACTAGACTTCCTCTTCCTCGACCTCCTCCGCCTCCGAAGGTCCGGCAGCCGCAGCGTCCGCACCAACAGCCGCAGCAGGAGCCCGCTTCACAAGAGCGGCGGCGGCGGCGGCGACCCGGGAGGCGCCGCGCGTGCAACTTTCGGGGACAACGATCGGGGGGGAGGTCAGAGGAGCGCAAGAGGTCTTGATAATGATACGTTCCATGATTGCTGAGGTTTTTCAGCAGTTCGTCTATTTACCCATATTCCGCACCAGCTGCTTCCAAGTCCGATATTGCGAAGGCCTTCCGGCCGGTGCCGCCGACCCTGAGGTTGGGGAGGAGGGCGCGGAGCATGGGGAGGACGATGAAGAGGTGGACAGGATGAAGAGGCAGATGAGGAGGAGTAGGAGCACAGGGGGGAATGAATAGGAGGAGAGCGAGGCGAGCAGGGTCGGGGGGGGCACGAAGGAAGGGCAGGGGCGAGTGGAGCGTGGCGATCATGAGGAGAAGGAGGGAGATAATGGCGAGGATGTTGACGATGTTGACGACGACGCCAGTTGCCTATGCGGACCATTCGGGGCGTCTTGGAGCCCTCCTGGGGTGACTTCCAGGCTTCGTTCGCTGTTTTGAAGACATAGGTTCGGCATCTTGGGCATCTGGGAGGCCACGGAGGTAGAGTTAGATTTGGAGGGCGCTGGGGCCGGGACCTGGGCCAGGGCCGGGGCCAGAGCGGGCCGGGAGCCAGGGCCTGCAGGGCCGGGCCAGGGCCGGGGCCGGGCTGGGTGGGGCCGGGCCGGGGCCGACCAGGGCCAGGGCCATGCTTGGGCCAGGGCGGGGCCGAGGCCGGGACTGGGTCCGGGGCCGGGGCCGGCGGGGCAGGGGCCGAGGCCGGCCGGGACCGGGGCCAGGGCGGGGACGTGTTGGAGTGGGGGCCCGAGTAAACGAACAATCGAATAATCCCCGGGACCACCCCCTGGGACCGCCCCCCGGGACCACCCCCCGGGACCACCTCGTGGGACCACCCCCCAGGATCCCCCCCCGGCCCCCCCCCCCGCCCCGGGAAGGGATCCAAGGGAAGGAATTCGCTTCCACCTCCGCGTGAACGATGTTAGGTGGCGTATCGGCTGGAGTGGATTACTTCGCCTTCACCTTCACGTCAACGATGTTATGTGGCGTAGTGGCTGGAGTGGATTGCTGCAGGAGGGACGGCGGCGACCACGCGGGCGAAAGCGTTTCACGCACGCTGGCTTCGTCTATTGACCCATGTTCCGCACCAGCTGCTTCCATGCCCGAGATTCCTTCCAGCAGGTGCGCCTCTCCGAAGGCGTTTTGGGGTGCCCGGATCGTCCCGAACGGCCGCCAAAAAGCCGACTTATGGCCCGAGCGTCAGGGGGCAATGCCAGGGTGGATAGGCTCAGACTCCCAACCGCCCACTGATCGCCGATATGGCTGTCTGATAGCCCCACCCCGCCCAGGAACTCGCGGATTTGCTATCGGAAGCTTATCGCCGATGTGTCGGTGATAAGCATCCGAGATTCCCCCAGTTCTCGTTGCCCCTCGAGCCCCTCTTCAGGCCGTGATGGAGGAGGGGTGCGGGAGCAGGGGCAGGATGGAACATGAACGCGGGGAAGGAGATGGTGGATGGAGGGCTTGATGTTGGACGGAGGAAGCGAGTGGGAGGGAAAGGAATGATTCAGGACAAAGAGGAGGGTCATAATAAACCCAGGATGCATCAACGATTCTGCAGTGCACCCTCCCGCCCGAAATTTTCCTCCCGTAAGCACCTACAGCTTCGCATTTCCATTTTGTGATGCGATTCCCTGGATTGACAAGGGTCTTGGGCTTGCCATTGAGAGATCCCGTTTTTTGTAAAAAAGGGTCCACCCTCCGCCCGTGAATCTGACTGCGAATTTCAAAACAATTGCCCAGTGACGGCCACGTTTAAGGAGGGCCGGCCGTCCACCCGTGCAAGTGCTGCACCATGTCGAAGTTTTGGTGGCATTACGTGAGCTTCAAGCGAGACCCCCATGTGCAAAATCAGCCGTTCCATCTGTGCATTTGTTACGCAAATTGGGAACTCGGGCCATGTTTTCCGAGGGCGTCCCCAGCGAGAGGCACACGTTGAACACGAACCGACCTCCATTGTTGCAATTGTTGGGAACTGCTGTAAAGAACGCGCGCGAGACCAAAAGAACACCGGCATTTTGACACCCCCCTCTCTCCATCCATGTATTTGCTGTATTGTTTTAGGACGAAAGTGCTCGGCGCTAAGGCGAACAACGCATTTGGAGAACGAGCCCGCTTCATGTAGCCTCTCCGCATGTACTAATGACGACTTGCTCAAGTGTCATGACATTCAGTTGCAAAGAGGGCTCAAGCGACTCTGTCGGCCTGGCTTGCGGACGCGTCTGGTGATGCTACAGGGCGTTGTTCATAAGAGTAGGGATGGAGGAGGATTGAAGGCGGGAGGGCAGTGCATAGGCCCATTGAGGAAGCGTGATCCTCAATCTGTGAGCGGGGATATCCTCCTCGTCCTACTCCTCGCCACCTTTTCCTCTATTTCCTCCTCTTCCGATGTTCCTTGTCACTCTGCTCGTTCCTGACATTTCTCTCCCATTCTACCTCCCCCTCCGTTTCTGTCAGACGCGAACAGAGTCGAGCATTATTTGCGAGTCCATGGTCCCTGGATAAAAGCGTGGCAGGGGTTTCGCGACGCGGGAGTGGCTGGCGCTAACATGGATGGGGTGGGAACGGAGAGGATCCAGCAAGGGGAAGCCGGATAAGGATAGCAATGTGGAGGAGGGGCGGCAACACGAAAATAAGGAAGGTTGGTGATGATGATGATGTTGTTGTTGATGATGGTGATGCTGATGATGAAGATGAAGATGATGATGGTTATTATGTTGAGCGCGATCACGATCATGACCATGATCATGATGATGTTGATGATGATGCTGATGATGATGATGCTGATGATGATGGTGATGATGATGATGGTGAATTATGATGATGACGATGATGATGATGATGATGATGGTGGTGGTGGTGGTGATGATGATGATGATGATGATGATGATGATGACTGCTCAAGGCACAAGACGGCTCAAGACGGCACAAGCGCCAAGACGGTTGCCAAGCTGTCTGTTTCACTCTGACAGCCCGTTCTCGTCGATTGCATACCACATCCCGCTAGGATGAAGGGTGCTCCGCAGTGGGCTGTGGGATTGCAGCAGGCGGTCACCACCTCGATGCGCGAAGAACTCGAACCCTTGCGGGAGGGCCTCACAGAGTGCAATATTCGTCTTACTGCAGTAGAGGACAAATGCAGCAAGTTCGAGAAGAGGATGGCTGAGTTTGATGAGCGTTCGACCTCGGGGGCATGGAGGGCGTCGTTCCTGGACATCGGTGGTTTCTGTGCGTTCAAGCAGGTTTGAGGAGCTCGGAGCTACCCGTCCCCAGGCGGCCATCCTCGTGAAGTCCCTCATCGATGTCCTCCCGGAGGAGCTTCGCGACAAGATGCACCCTTTCGAGCTCAAGTACCGTCGGAACTATTACACCCATATCCCTACTGAAACACGGTGCCTGCAGGAGATGGCTAACACATGGCGGGAATGTTTGAAGACACTTGAGAACCAAGAGAGGTTTTGGAAGCAGTTGTGGATTACTACCGAACGCCACCCCGACATCCAGAAGCAGTACGAGGTGACGGGGAAGCTCTTGGACTTCACGGTGGACCTCGCAGATGCCGCATCTACGGCCGAGGCCTCATGGCTCCCGGAGTTCGAGGTCAAACCTCAAGCAGCCGGCGGATGGCAACCAGGCTCCCAGCACGATTGCGATCGCTGGTGTCCGTCTGAGGGGCACCGTAGAGTGTCACCAGGCCGGGTTACGAGCTCTTGGATTGACCTCGGCGGAGGAGAGGATTCATAAGCTCCTCGCGTTCAAGCGCAAGTAGCGGGGCCTCGAGGGTAATTTGGAGGCCACAAAGATGAGCTTACGTTTGTGACTTGTAACGCCTCTAAGAAGAATCCGGCCATAGGAAAATCACACGTTTGAGCTTTGAAACGATTGGGCTGGGGGCATTCTGTTATTTGTTTACAGAAAGCACCAGCATTAATCGACGATTCTCGCTCTGGTGGGTATATTGCGGTCGCTAGTCGATCACACTTTGATCACGAAGAGGGCAGCGATGGATTCGATTGGCTTCCTCATCCCGAGCGGCCTGAATCCGTGCATCCGCGGGGTGAGACATCGACCCATCAGGAGTGGAGTTTTGTTGCAGGGATCTGGATTTTCAGCGTTTACTTCCTGCACACGCCCTTCGAGCACAGAGGAATCGCACGTATACATCGGCGTTACAAAAGTTTCATCATAAAATAAAAGTCGATCATCTTGCATAAGCAAAGACAAATCCCGCCCCGGTGGGATTTCTAGAACCGTGTGAATTTACGTCGGGATTTCAATCTGTCCCGTTTTAAATCTATACTATTATAGTAAAGGATGAAATCCCACTTTTAGAAATCCCGGATCTTTGATCCGACCGCTCTTGACACAGTCCGCTAGGATTCTAGGGGGGAGGGGGGGGCCAACTCGGCGCGGCCAGGGCAGTGGTCAGCCGCTGCCCGCTTGCTCACGCGGAAGGAAGACACGAAACCCATGCCATGCCACCTTCAAGCTCTCATGAAACGTGACGAACTTTTGTAACGGCGTAGTATGTGACTCGACGTGTGACACAATAGTTTCATGATGCGTTGTATCTGGAACATGGTAAACATATTTTTTCTAAACTTGTTGGTCTTGATGCCAACGTGACGCTTCCGCCAAATGATTGCGGCCTCACGGGTGCGAATGCCCTCCCCGCGTTGTCATGCCATGCGGTTTGCATGCAACATGCCATATTGTCTTGGATGGAGCCGTCGGGCTGAGGGTGTTGAACGGCAACACCGCGACACCTCGGATCTATGGACACGTGGCTAGACCTGGGCTCTACGCAGACGTGCGCACATCGATTTCGCGGCGGTGAGCGGCGACATCCAGGGCGAGGCTTTCGCTGCACGTGAGTGCCACGTTTGAGACAATGCTGTCCTCCGGAAGCGCATGGACCACCGCGTGGAGATAACACATGTGCGGATCCAGCCCCT